TTTAGGGTTTAGGGTTTAGGGCTTATAGGGCTTATGGGGCTTATAGGGTTTAGGGTTGAGGGTTTAGAACTTGTCAGTTTAGGGCTACGGCTCCAGAGGTTGAGCCATGGAGGTCGAGGCCGCGTGACTGTAGGTTTGCGGCCCAGGACTTGAGTTTAGGGAACTCCTTTTTTTAGGGTTTAGGGGTTTAGGGTTTAGGGTTTAGGGTTTAGGGTTTAGGGGTTTAGGGTTTAGGAGTTTAGGGTTTAGGGTTTAGGGTTACCTGGTTTGAGGGTCCCAGGACCCCAACCGCACACCTTGATGAAACTCCCCATTAAACTCTAAAGCCTAAACGCCTCGACTGCTGCACTTGCAAGTAGCCCTAAACCCAAAACCCTATCATAAATCCCAAATACTAAAAATATAAAACCCTACATCCTTTTTTTGTGTAAACCCTAAATCCTATTTCATCATCGCTAAAACATCAACCCTAGACGGAACTCAAAATCCGAAAGATGCGGCAGAAGCCACCTCGTCTAAGAGGCCCATGTTCTTAAGAGCTCGGACCTGCCTGCAGCGCTGGGGACGTGGTAAGTAGAGTTTACCTTGGCCTACAGAAAACCCGACTTTCTTGTAAAGCCCCCTCATATTAAGAACCTACGACAAAGTAGGTTATGGCAGGTTTATCGTAAGGATAAGGCTCAGGATTTCGGCGGCTCTTCGTTGACTCTTGTAGATACTCGAACTTCGTACACGTGTTGCGCGTCGATGGAGTCTCACAAGGACACCCTGTTGGTTCAAGATAGAGAGAGGGGTTTAGGGTTTAGAGAGAGAGAGAGAGAGAGAGAGAGAGAGGGAGAAAGAGAAAGAGAAAGAGAAAGAGAAAGAGAAAGAGAAAGAGAAAGAGAAAGAGAAAGAGTGAGATAGAGATTTTCGCTCACCGAAACCCTCAACGCAAATCTCTCAACCTTAATGCCTTGAACGCGTAAACTGCTGCAGCCTATCCCTAAACCTTGCCTACTCTCCGATGTTACTGTCTTGCTTTGGTCACCTGGTTGCTTTGCGAAGGTTCCTAACCATAGAAGTGGCCTAACCTGTTTGGGGTACTATGAACTATGAACTATGAACCCTAAAGCCTAAACCATATAAACCCTAAACCCTATAAACCCTAAACCCTAAAACCCTAAACCCCTAAACCCTATAAACCCTAAACCCAAGGTGAAACTTAGAGCTATGCTTAAGGTCCCCTTTGATACGAACCCTCCGGGTCAGGCTTTCGGGGCTTGTCGAATTCTAGAGCTTTCCTACAGATCGCACACCTCACGGTGAGGGTTTAGGGTTTAGGGTTTTCGCGCTTCAACCCCCTTATAACTTATAACCACCGCAAAGAACCCTAAATGGGCATGCCTCAACCCAAAACTGCATCACGCTGGCTGACCTGGGAACCGACAGCCTGATGCTCCACCGCAGCACCTGCAAACATTTACCCTCCACCCCAACCCTAAATCCTAAACCCTCAGCCCCAAACCCTAAACCCTAAATCCTAAATCCTAAACCCCAAACCCCAAACCCTAAACCCTAAACCCTAAATCCTAAACGCTAAACTCTAAATCCTAAACCCTAAACCCTAAACCGTCGTACAAATGCGGGTTTTACAAGCACGAGGAAGCTGGTCTCTCGTTCTGCTATGCGGGGGAGACCGGAAAAGAAAAGGGAAGCTGCACCTAAACAGGGGTTTCGGGCTTTTAGGGTTTAGGGGTCAGGGGTTTAGGGTTTAGGGCTTTGGGGTTTAGGGTTTAGGGGCTAGGGTCCCACACCCTAACGCTCTCTTCCTGGCTGCCCAAGGTGCCCAGTGACACCGGCCATGCTTCGTGCGCCGCCCCCACGCATAGCCAAAGCCACGTGCCCCTGCGGTGCATATTCCAAATGCCAAAAACCCTGCAAACCCCGTGAGGTTGTGCTTTATGTTTTCGGTTCGGGGCTTAGGAGCTTAATTCTCTGGCTTAGGGTCTATGCTCAATACCTTTCGTCCTGAACCCAAAACAAAAAGAACCCCGAGACCCAAAATCCAAAAGGACACCATAACATCACCTGAGCCCCAAATCCATGGAGACTCCCCTCAACCCCAAGCCGGAGACCCTAAACCCTACAGGTCATTCAAGGCTGAGGGTGGAGGGAAGGAGGAAAGGCTGATTGGTTGAGGGTTTAGGGTTGAGGGGCATTGCGAACGACCTTCGTCCAGGTTTTAGGCACAGTTTAGGGTTTAGGGCTGTTGAAAATGAGCGGATAGAGGCCTGCCACGGGCTGCAGGAGGTGAGAGCAGAGATGCTCCCTAATTAAGGAATATACCTTACATCCTACTGGGGTTTCTATTAAAAACTTAAGGCATAGTCCGTAAATAAGACCAATTTCAGTCTCGAGCCCCTGGAACATTATGGCCGCGAGCTACAAGGGTTGATGTCAAGAGCCTAGGGCCTAGGGTTTAGGGTTTATGTTTAGGGTTTCGGGTTTAGGGTTTCGGGATGTTAAGGGTTTAGGGTTTAGGGGGTTTAGGGTTTTGGGATGTTTAGGGTTTAAGGCTCCATTGAGCTGGTTTGGAGACTGCTTTCTGATAGATTCGCCTGGGGTTGGACCCAAAAGCCCTTATCCCTCAGGGGCCAAACGACCCGGTCATTAGGTACTGGGTTTCGGATAATGCGGTTGATGAAATAAATCCTGCATGACCCATAAGAAGGAAGATACCAGGATCCTTAAGGTACTGCAGGACTTATATCATCGTATGGATGTAGGTTAGTAGCTTGGAGAATATATGGTTCTCAGGTACCTGAACCCTGTAGCATAGGTATGAACATCTGATGAATGGAAGAAGCCAGTAGAAGCCTCTAAAGCTGAGAAGCCCATTCGAAGGAAATCCAGAGAAGCCAACAGAAGCTTCTGCAGCCGATTTTTTGAGACAAGGCAAAACCTGGGGCGGACCGTTCATAGTTAGACAAGGGTTCGGGGAATAATATTCTTGGGTAGTCATACCCTATACAAAAGCCCTGAACTCTAAAATCCTAAGTCATACCCCTACACATAAACCCTGAACTCTAAAATCCTCAAGCCAACAACTCAAAACACGAACTTCAGGCAATAGTAGGCCTCCTGAACTCTAAAATCCTAAAGCCTAAAACTCAAAACACGAACTTCAGGCAATAGTAGGCCTCCTGAACTCTAAAATCCTAAAGCCTAAAATTCAAGACACGAACTTCAGGCAATAGTAGGCCTCCTGAACTCTAAAATCCTAAAGCCTAAAACTCAAAACACGAACTTTAGGCGATAGTAGGCCTTCCGCCATCGCTTGAGCACGTGGTCCGTTGCGGAGTTCCAGGGAAGGACCTGGCTTTGGCCCAACTTGCACGAAGGAGCAACAGGGTTTAGGGTTTAGGGTTTAGGGTATAGCTTTAACCCCCCAAGAGTAGGTAAAGTAATGGCCCCAAGACCCAAGAAAGGCCATTATTCTACAAAGTTCAGGGTTCAGGGCAAGTTTAGAGTTTAGGCCTTATAGGGCTTGTGGAGGTTTCAGGGTTTAGGGTTTAGGGGTCCAGGACCGGTTTGCCGTATGTTTTGGATTTAGTGCAGTCTAGAACGTATTGTGGCTTCCGGGATTTAAAGCTTCAGGGCTTGCTCATGTTTCAGAAACCTAGGCCCAGGCGCAAGGCTTCTGAGCCTTCTGGTGTCTAAAGGGAGTTTGGCTCGGGGCCTACCCAGAAACTCAAAATCCTGTTGAATTCGGGCATATACTGTAAACTACGGTAGGGTTCCTACTATAAGATACTCTTTTCCGGGCATAAGTGGGGACTTACAAGTTCGAGGGCCAAGGGCTTCTAGGTTTGCGTCTGGGACGCGTTGATAGAAAGTTGGATACGGGCTGTGGCTTTATGTTTTTTAGTTGGGGTGACGCTCATTTGGGTTTAGGGTTTAAAAGGGTTTAGGCTGTATAAGGGTGTCATAACGACTGCGTTGCTCCTTCTGACTTCTGGGCTGGAAACAAAAAACGAGAAGTGACCAAGGACATCAACAACCCAGCATGCTAAGGTTTATTTTCATTAGGGCGAAAAGAGACTTACGAGTAAGTAAGGTCGTGAGGATTTCGGGTTTTAGTTTAGAGTTTGGGGAGAGGGTCCGTTTACCTGAATTTTAGCCTCGCTTCAATGGGTTTCTGCGATGGGTCACCACCTCTGACGGATTGCAAATAAACCCAGTCAAGTCCCTTTTCCGCTCCACCCCTATAATCCCTAAGACCCACAACTCGCTAAGCAACAAAAGACCCGAACCCACCCTAAACCCAAAACCCTAAATCCCCAACCTCTACAGTCTAAAACCCTTTCAACCCTCAGATTACGCCATGGGAAGATGCCTTGAAGGTGGCATAGCCATACCAGGACTCGTCGTCCTTCCCAATCGCAGCCTGACTCTTGTGTGGTGGTCTTTAGGGCTTATAGGGCCTTTGCCAGCCTGAACTACCGGTAGAGGGGGGCCTGGCGGTGGAGAGTGCGGGATTTTGTCCATCAGCGAGTTGGTTTTGCGGATTTCCGGCACAGGGCTGCTGGGATTTCATGGTTCAGGGTGTAGGGGCTGCCGTGGAAAAGCATGCTGAACGGAGGATCACGAGCAGTCACAGTTTAGGCTTTAGGGCCTAGTAACGTTGGAAGGACAAGCAACGCCATTTAGCTTCCTGATCGCTTCTGACAGCACAAGATATGCACAAGATGTACCTAAACCCTCAACCCTAAACCCTAAACCCCTAAACCCTAACCCCTTGCAAGCTTGAAAGCTTGGAGGCTTGCACACTCGTGCATTTGCGATGGTTGCAGCGCCATTGCTCAGGGAAAAACAGGAGCCCGCGGCGTTTGTGTCATCCGTAGCTTCGGCCCGCTTTCATGGTAGCGGAGCTACCCTAAGACAGAGGTCTTTGGGGGCTCCAGGGCGACGCTGATTCTGGAATCTCACCGCTGGACGCGTTAGTGTGAGACCTGGAAATGGCTGAGCTGCGGTACACCAAGGATGGTGTGCCGATATACGATGGCACCCCGGAACTGTTTGTGCCATACCGCCGAGCCGCTTTGATATATGCAGAAACAGTGGAATGGAAGAAGCGGACACTGGTGGGGCCACGCCTCCAGGCGGCCCTGGAGGGATCTGCACGGATGGTTGTGGAGCACAAAGCACCTGGATGGATTTCGCATCCCAATGGCGCTTCGCAGTTACTGGAATGCTTAAAGCAACAGGTGCGCGCCCCAACCTTGGCAGAGGCTGGCAGGACAATGTCTCGTTTCTTCTACGGCATCAAGAGGAGGCGAGGAGAAGGTATGGCAGCATGGATCGTTAGACACGATGAAGCTCTTCTGGAAGCCAAGCGGACGCTTGCAGAGGCGATTCAGGAATATGGTCCTGGATCCAAGTTGTCATCGTCGAAGAGCTCTACGTCCTGGAGAAGCCAGTACCGGGGATATACAAGACCGCAGGGCTCGTCGGAATCAGGAGGAACACACCCTGATCCCGAGGAACCCGGGAACCTCGGGGAGGAGACCGAAGAACTGCGCGACCATGAGGAGGAAACAGGCGAGACGCAAGAAGGTTCCGAACCAGCTGGAGATTGGTGGGATTCATGGTGGTCCAATGACTGGAACCACTGGAATGAGGGCAGCTATACCAATCCGCCTAGCTGGTGGGGCACACAGCCGAGCAGCGGTGGCCTCACGTGGGCTACCTGGGATGCGTCAGCGACAGCATCGGCCCAAGCCGAACGGTTTCTTCCAGACTTCGTGATCGCGTGGCTCCTTCTGCAGAGGTCAGGACTCGACACAACCGAGAAGAGCGTGATTGTGGCAAATCTTCGCAACAACTTTTCAATCCAGAAGGTCAAGGAGGCGTTGAAGCTGACTTGGCCAGATGAGGAGCTTCGCAAGCGAGATTCTGGAAAGAACAGTGCGATGTTTGCTGCAGACGAGGAGGCGCTCCTGGCAGGAGAAGAAGAAGCTGAGCCCCCTGAGGCTCCAACCTGGGATGACCCCGAGGAGGGTTATGCATATCAGGCTCTGGAAGATGATGCTCAGGAGGCCTTGGCTGCTCTGGATGATGCCAGGCGTACCCTCAAGGATGCCAGAGAGAAGCAAGCGCAGATGAGACGAAACAGAGGTTTCTTTTCGCAGCGGAACTCAGGAGGCGAGAGGTCCTCCGGGTCACGACCTCCGATCAAGTGCTTCCGATGTGGGGGCAATCATATGCGACGAGATTGCCCACAGAACAACTCCGGAAGTTCCAATGATCAGCGGGTTCACTTCGTCTTCTCGGCTACTACCACGACCGTAACTGCGGAGCCAGATGGCAATGAGAAGTTTTCAGCAACAACAGAAGCAAACATGCTGGCCCTGGACGAGGTGGTGGCTGCCGGCAATGCCATCATCGATGGTGGTGCGACGAGCAGCCTGGGATCAGAAGATGCACTACAGCAAGTGGCTATGCTCAACTGGAAGGCTACCGGACAAGACAGTATTGATATCATACCTGGAGAGAAGCCCAGTTTCAGGTTTGGCAACAATGCTCAACACACCTGCCTTTCAACAGCTATGTTCCGGTTGCCCATCGAGTGCAAGGACAGCCGCATGAGAGTGCATATTCATGATATTCCAGGCCAGCCTGTTCTGCTGAGTGTGAAGAGTCTGAGAGCTCTAGGCGCTGTTATCGATTTTTCGAATGACCAGGCCGTGTTTAAGGCGCTGGACCCAAAAGCTGTGGTCTCACTCGAGACCACGAGCAGTGGACATCAGCTGTTCCCATTGGCTCGGGATGTTCTTGAAGGGGCTACTCCGCTTGATGTTCCGTTTACCTCGTTCCACCAGTATGTGAAGGATAAGCATCCCGAGAGCCATGGCGAGTAGGGACAGCTCCTTCTGGTGAGCACTTGCGCAACCGATCACCAGAAGGGTTTTGAAAAGAACAGCGCGCAATCAGATTTGTACAGGGAGGAATCACCAAGCCACATAGGTGATGCGAGTAGGGATCATGTTGGCAGTCAAGAGTCGTACCAATCCCAGAAGTCCGAATCCTGTATGTGGAGTCTCAAAGAAATGGTGCAGCCCAAGAACCCAAAACATGAACTCGGCGTCCTCAAGAACCTCATTGAAAACCAAGCCCAGCAGCTGATCACTCAGAAAGCCAATGTGAAGCAAGTGGAAGGGTTTTTAAAGGAGATTCCGTGGAGCAAGCTGACCCCGAAGCCTAGTGACAGACAACAGGTGGTGATGATTGAGGGGAGTGATGATCAACAGCCCGGGGCATATGTGGTTTTCGGCATGTTCGTACATGGAGGCGTCTGTGGGATCACGAGGGTTACAATGGAGTATCCGTGGCTGACCCGTGTTTTGTGTCGTCTGGTGCAATGGTATAGGCCAGGGTTTCAGGGGACCTCCATAGGAGTTTCGTGCAACTGCCAGGCCAAGGCCCATCGAGACAAGTACAATCTTTCCACTAGTCACAACTTGGTGATACCCTTAGTGAAGCCAGATGTAGGAGGGGAGATTTGGGTTGAAGGCGAGGCTTCAGGACCTGCTGAGAAGGAGTTGAGTCGGGATTGTGATGGAATTCAGGTACAGGGATACGTGAAGCCCCTGAAAGGACCCATGGAGATTAACCCGAGGAAGTGGCACGAGACTATGTCATGGGAAGGTAACAGAGTCTTGGTCCTGAGCTATACTCTGAGTAGCTTCTACAAGCTTCCTAAGCCAAAGGTGTCATGGTTGAAACGTCATGGTTTCAAGTTTCCCTGGAAGTCCAGTCTTCAACGAGGTGTACACCCGAGCTCACCTAAGCGCCTCAAGCCTGAATCCACGCCCCCCGCCGCGCCTTTCGAAGTACTCCACGCCGTCGACGGGAACCACCAAGGCGGAGATGCAACAGAAGCTGATTCGGATGGGCGAAACACCGCCCCATGCGTGGACCAAGGTGCAATTGGCAACACGGATTGCCGAACTGCAAGCTGCCGAGGAACAACCCATGACCGAGAGGGAGGCCTCGAAGATGATCAATCGAGCGAAGACCAAGCAGGCCTTGATGGATCTCTTGGCCGAGCACAACCTCGAGCACAGCAAGCACCAGACCATGGACCAGCTTCGGGCAGTGATGTTGCGCTACCTCATGGAGGCGAAAGTCCCGGCGACCTACGAGAACTACATGGGGTTCGGGAAGTACAGTCACCTGACGTACGGGCAAGTGCTGACTCACTACCAGAGCTACACAGACTGGACAATCACAACCGCAGCGACGGAGAAGGAATGCCATTGGCGTCTTCGCCGCTATGCACAATGGGCCAACGGGTTAAGCCGCACCGAGAGGGAGAAGATCTACCGGATGGCCAGCATCGAGATCGAGGCAGAGACACAGAGAACGGCGCAGAGGGGCTACCGTTACCGCCCCGCCAGTCAGGCAAGCTCTTCGGAGTGGAACGACTCGCGATGGGAAGTCGCGACCATGGAGACCACCCCGGACCAGGAGATGATCCCCGCGACTCCATCCCGGGACCCAGCCGAACGTCTGGAAGAGCTCGAGACAGAGCTCCGTCATCTCCGAGAGCTGGTGAAGAAGCAGGCGGAGGAGACTGTCGAGCCGGACCGCAAGCAGACCAAGTCGAAGGGGGCTTAGGACAAGGACCTGAGTTGAGTGCAAGTGAGCCCGCGGAAGCGGACGAGGAGGAGCCAGCTCCTGGTGTGCTGTGGCCCTTATCCTTTAAGCAGGCTAAAGGGATTAGTGAGGGATATGAACGTAGCATGCAAGAGGCTCTTCAGGCACTTGGAAGGTCTTCAGTGAAGATGATTGAGGTTGGAGGTTCGGAAGAGAGTCAACTTAGCAAGGAGTGTGAGAAGGTTTTGGGATCAGGGTCCGTGATTCGGCTGTCTCATTGGAACGGTGGAGACCTGAGTACCAAGGAGGGTCAGGACTATGTTCTGAGGGTGATAGAGGAGAGTAGGCCCATGTGTGTGTGGTTCAGTCCTGACTGTGTGGCGTACTCTAAAGCCCAAAGGTTGAATAGTCGAAATCCTGAACAGGTCAAAAGGCTCCAGGCCAAGAGAGACAAAGCCGACCTAGAGTATGAAGGAGTGTCTCGGATCCTTCGGGCAGTAGCTTCTCAAGGGATCACATGCGTTCTCGCGCTGGTAGAGCAGTGCGAGGCCTGGAATCAACCGTGGATGTCCAAGCTTCAGCATGATGTGTCACTGTACAAGGGTTCATGTGATGGACGTCAGGTGAATCTGAGGGATTACCAGGGAGCTCTGATTTGCAGAAGCTGGGGTTTGCTTGGGACCGATGGGGCCATGATTCAGAATCTTTCGTTGGGATGTGATCAAAAGCATGCCAGGGGTCGAGGCTTGGGATGTGAGGGTCTTAGGCCGCAGAACTACACCAAGGAGTTTGGAAGGCGAATGGCCAGGTTCCTGGAGAGGCTTGAAGGATGGTTTCAGGTGGCTTCTGAAGTTCAGGGACCAGGAGATTTGTGTTTTGCTGCGGAAGAGGCTCCCGGTCTCAGACCATCGGCCGATGACCCTCAGAGCATCAAGGACATCCCGGCTGAGACACGCCGGAAGATTTTCCAGAATCTCCGAAGGATTCACACTGCCACAGGACACTGTAGCACGCAGTACTTAGTCGCTAGCTTAAAGAAACGAGGAGCCTCTAAGGAAGTGCTTAGATGTGCTGAACAGTTTTCATGTGATGTGTGTAGAGAACGTAGTCGAGCTGATCCCCGAAGTCCTGCTACCCTGAACGAAATCGTTCCCAAATGGCACACTCTTCAATGCGATGCTTTTGCCTGGAACCACCCCGAGAATGGAGAGAAATGGCAATGTATGCTGGGTGTTGATGAGGGAAGTCGTCTTCGTGTCGGGAAAGTGTTGTTTCAGCATGCTAGTCGCACTCCAAGTGTCCAGGATTTCATTGGCTACTTTGAGGGTCACTGGTTGCCAAGCTTCGGAAAGCCCCAAGTTATTCGAGTCGATCCTGCAGGATGTTTCCGAAGCAAGCAGTTGGATACCTACCTGTCAGATCGACAGATTGAGGTCCAACACATCCCGGCCGAGGCTCATTGGCAGATATCAATCGTGGAGCGCTCTATCCAGAGCGTAAAGGCCATGATGTCTGCGTTAGTTTCAGAGCAACCTGACATGTCGGCAAGTGAGGCTTTTGCTCGATCAATATGGGCTTGCAACACCAGGGATCAGTACCATGGCTACAGCCCACTACAACATGCGTTTGGCAGGGCACCAGATGAGCTAGGACATCTAGGAGAAAACAAACTTCGTGATCTTCCGATTTTAACTGAGAATGGGGTGTCCGCTGAGTTTGGGGTGGATGTTCGGGCCATGTACACTGCGGAAAAGGCGTTTCTTGAGGAGCAAGCTAAAGAACGACTGAGAAGGGCTGAGCTGTCAGGGGCCCGTACAATGCAAAGTTTTTGTCCAGATGATCTTGTCTATGCGTGGAGGCGTATGACTCCAAGGGCTGACGGCAGCAAGCATTTTAAGGGCGGAAAGTTTGTGGGACCATACAGGGTGCTAGCGACTGAAACCAGAGTAGACCAAGATGGGACAGTCCGAGCGGGACATATCATCTGGCTGTATCGAGGAGGACAGCTAGTCAAGGCGGCACCACAGCAACTACGGCCCGCGACAGCTCGCGAGGAGTCGTGGAGTGAGCTGCACAACCAAGGTACCGTGCCGTGGACGATCTCAGAGACTCTTCGAAAACAACCGCCACACCAGTTTGAGGACATCGTAGGTGACAGCAGCCACATGCCAAGTCGTGTTGAGTTGTTGACTGAAGAGGAGAGGAGAGAGAGAGAAGAGCCAGGTGAGAGAGAAAGAACCCCAAGGCGGATTGTAGGAAAGCAAGCCGCGCCGACTAGAGCGACTGGATCGAGAGAGAGAGAAAGAAGCCGAAGTCCTCTTGAGAGAGGACCCGTGAGAACGCACGGGAGAGAACCCCACATGATGTCACGCGACGAGGTGATGGAGGAGTGTGGAGTTGTGTTCCCCGAGACAGAGACTCCGTTTTGGGAGAAAGATGGAGCGGCGATCGCTTTGGAGGTGGAGCTTCCCCATACGAAGCAGAGGCAAGGGAAAGAATGGACACGAGACCTGGGATGCTTTTTCACGAAGCAACTGAGGAGGCAGGCAGTGGAAATCTCAGAACGCAATTTGAGTGAGACTGAGAGAGAGGGTTTTCGCAAGGCCAAACAGAAAGAAGTGAAAAACTTCATAGTGGCTAAGGCTTTCAAAGCACTTCCTGAGCACTACAAGCCATGTAGGAGTCAAATCCTCAAGATGCGGTGGATTCTGACGTGGAAGCTAGATGAAAGCCCTGAAGGAGAACCGCTCAAGAAGGACAGCCAAGGAAATCCGTTGAAGCCCAAGGCCCGAGCCGTGGTGTTAGGATATATGGACCCCCTCTACGAGTACCGGCCAACCAGCAGTCCTACCATGAGCAGGACCACAAGGCAGCTGTTTTTGCAGTGTTGTGCGAATCGGAAATTCAAGGTTGAGAAAGGGGATATTAGTGGAGCGTTTCTTCAAGGAGATGATTTTGAGTCTGAACGGGCCATGCCATGTGAACCTCTTCCTGAAATCTGTGAAGCACTAGGACTCCCCCCCAAAAGCGTCGTGGCCTTGACGAAAGCCGCCTATGGTTTGGTAGAAGCCCCAATCCAATGGTTTCTCACCGTGTCTCGCTTCTTGGAAAGTATCGGAGGAGAGCAACAGCTATCAGATCCTTGTTGCTGGTCGTTCTTCAAACAAGAGAGGGATGCTCAAGGAAAGCGTGTGTGCATAGGACATGTGTGTGGACATGTTGATGACTTCCTGTTTGGAGGAGCCGAGGATTGTCAGGATTGGCAGTCAATCAAAGCCAAAATCCAAGAGCGTTTCAAGTGGGGTCAATGGGAAGCTGGTCGTTTCACGCAGTGCGGTGTTCTTGTAGAGCAGTGTGAGCAGGGTTTTGCTTTGAGCCAGCCAGAATACCTCAACAACGTGAGCGAGATCCACCTGTGCCGGAAGAGGTGGAATAGCCCAGAGGCCGCCGTGACGCCTCAGGAATTACATCAGCTACGCAGCGTGCTAGGGGCAATTTCGTGGCACGCGAATCAGGTGGCACCTCAGTGGAGTGCTCCAGTGAGTCTATTGCTCTCCAAGATCCACAAGGGCTCGGTGGAGGACATCATCGAGACTAACAAGCTACTGCGCAAGGCTAAGTTGAGTCAGCACCAGAAGTTGCTGATCCACCAGCAGGACATGTCTGATGTGCTCATCGCCGCATGGGCCGATGCTTCCAATTCGAATAGAGATGATGGTGGCTCGACAAAGGGTGTCTTCATTGGATGGACCTCGCAAAGACTCTTGGCAGGAGACTTGGTTCCAATAAGTCCGTTGTTCTGGCAGTCGGCAAAGATTCATCGGGCATGCCGCAGCTCGGCTGCAGCAGAGACGCATGCAGCAGTGGATGCTGAAGATGAGTTGTTTGCGATGAGATTCCAGGTTCAAGAGTTTTTCGGCGAAGCTGTTTCTCTGTGGTCCTGTGATGAGTCAGTCCGGTCAGTGTCAGGGTTGTTAATCACCGATAGCAAGAATCTTCATGATCGGTTGAATCGGACGGTGATGACTTTTAGAGGTGCTGAGAAAAGGTCCGACATTGAATCTCTGTGTTTAAAGGAAAGCATGAATGCCAATGGTCTGTTGATTCGATGGGTGAATGGGGATAGTCAACTCGCTAACTCCTTAACCAAGGAAACGGAACTGCACCAGTTGTTTGAGTATCACAGAAGGAAGGGACAATGGAGAATTGTGTACGACCCTACTCTGCTTTCTGGTCGCAAGAGGCGTCAATTAGGGCTCGAGAGACTTGAGTCACAGGTGGCAGGGTGATTCCCAAACGCGGCTTTTCAACGACAAAAGTTGTTGGGGCCCGTGCAAGCTTGAAAGCTTGGAGGCTTGCACACTCATGCATTTGCGATGGTTGCAGCGCCATTGCTCAGGGAAAAACAGGAGCCCGCGGCGTTTGTGTCATCCGTAGCTTCGGCCCGCTTTCATGGTAGCGGAGCTACCCTAAGACAGAGGTCTT